CCCTACACCTGCGATCTTTCTGTAGCTTAGGAGGAACAGTGGTTGATTGTGATAGAAGGAAAAAGTAATTAGACATTTACAACTTGGGAAAATAAGCTCTAGAAAAGATTACAGAGTGGTTAATTTTTACAGTAGTTATTTCAGAATAATTCTGAGTTACACAGTGTAGCCCAAATCTCCCTGTGACGGTAAGGAGTGTGAGCTGCCCCATGAAAGCTGCTGTTTGGATGTGACCTAGAACTATTGCTAGCAACAAAAGAAGATGGGGACATGTCGTTCATCCTCGGACTGCAGAAGAGGGGCAGACACTTCCCAGATCTTGCAAGACAAGTTTCATGTTTTAAAATTCTGGGTCACTTCTTTAATTAAAAAGTTATGCTTTTAAAAATGCTTCTACTCAAATGCACTGCAGCACTGGGAGATGTAGTATTTTTTTTGTCTGAAGCCTGTATCATCTATCAAAACGTGCTGCGTGAAAACAGCTGGATCTCGTGTTTGAGTCTTCATAACTGAACTGAACGTTTAGACTGTCTTTTTCCATCAAATGTGTGATTTAACAGTGCAGCAGTGGATGAATCTAGGACAGTCTCTGAATTGCAGAGTTCTGTGCTAGCTGTCTGCAAAGCAGGAAGAAAGAGAAATGACAGGCTGCTGGCAGAAAAATACGATGATACTACAATAAGCATACACCACAGTTCATTTGATGGACAGCAGTGCCTACTCCCATAGAAAAGGGCTGGGATTCATGTGGATTAGTTCCTTGTGATACGTGCATAGAAATCCAGATATTCTCTTCTCAAACATGTTGGTTGCTGTTCTGTTTTCTTCTGGTCACTTACTAATATTAGAAGTGACAAACTGTGAAACCAACATTGCAGGAAAGGCATTGTATGTTTGCGAAAATTTTAAGCCTGCGTGGGTCTATCCTGCAGTCTTTCCTCCTGCAAAGCTTCCCGTAGCCCTGTGTGTGTCTGCGTGTGTGCCCACGCACGTGGGCTCCTGGTTGCTACAAATGGCTCTGTCCCTTTTCTGTGGGATCTGTCAGGATGGGAGTCTGTACAATGTTCGGCTCTGCGCTTGACTGAAAGCTTGAGAAGTTAAAAGCTTTTAGAAGAGTCTCAAAAAAACAACAACATACACACATAACTGAAAACACATGAGAGATGAGAAAAACAGAAATAATGCAGCATGCAGTAACATTTGGAAGCTTTCTCTCTTTTTAGCAGTATCAGAGAGGCTCCAGCAAGAAAGGGACCCCTGTAATCCACAAGGCCTCTGTAGGAAACACAGCAACAGCTGAACAGTGCATGAGAGCTGAGGCTTCAGGGAAAACCTCCATGAAAAATAAAAGGAAGGGAAAAAAAAAAGGGGGGGAAAAAAAGTCCAGGTTTTTTTTTTAAAGCTCTGTACAGATGCGATGACAATTTGATGAGTCCTTCTGCTTTTTTTGCTTTTATGCAAATTGATAGCCTGCTCTTGGGAAAGGTCTACAGTGCTTATGAGCATTTTATTGTCTGCTTGAAGTTACAAGCTGACTGGAGAAGCTAAGAAAAGCAGCATTATGGAAGAGGGAAAAGGTGTTTGGCAACGTCAGGAATTATATGTTGCTGGTGGCACACACACTCAGAAGTAAGGATCACAGGCAAGTTCACACTGTTAAGCAAAGTTGCAGTGGAACCAGTGTAGTGCCAGTGCCAGGCACTCAAAAGCCACTAAGTTTTGCCTCCTGGAGTCATGATGCTGTTATAACACTGTGTGGCTTTTTCAGGCAACGATGTGCTGTTGTGATTTGCTTCCTGGTTTTTGAACTGCTGTGGGTTGTGTTCTCACGGTTTGCCCTGCAACCATGGGGATACTTTTTGTATTTTTTACATGAAAGCTGTTCCCTCAGCTTCTTCAAGAAGCCAATTGAGAGTGTGGTCTTTAAGAAAACAATCAAATGTGACAAGTGTTGCAGTAAAGTCACAAACACTAAGACCATTTTTATTGTGAGGATTTGGCTTCTTATGGATAAGAAGGCTCTGTTACACTTGGGTTTTGCTTGCTCCCTAAAGCCTTGTGTATATAAACCTTTCATTCCTCTGTCAAATCAGCTCTGCTGTGACCCCAGAGAGGACATCTAGACCAGCCAGGCATGGTGTAGCTAGTGTTGCCTCTGTTGCCTTACTGCCTGTCAATAGGGGAATGGATTCGCTGCAGCATTAATGTGGATGAACATCTGAGCTTAAGCTGTCGTAGGGGGTGAGCAGTGGCAGTGCAAAACCCCACACAGGCACTGTGTGCACTGCAAGGGCTTCTGAGGACTTGTCCCCTGAAATTTATGAGTGTGGTAAACTGAAGTGCTCTGTGATCCTTTCCCAGCCTGTTGGGAAAGGATTTATCTTTCCTTGCTATCTCATCAGAGCGAGCTGCGGAAGATGGTGGAAGAAGTCAGAGGGCTACTGGCCACATTGAACAGTTTTGTGTTCACAATCACTGCAGAGGGAGGGGGTTAAGAGCCCCCTCCCTGAAGGTTTCCCTCTGGAGTTCACACCCTAAGGCAGGTCAGGGAGGCTGGACTGACCTGCCCCAAGTGTAACACAGTAGTAGTTTTCTTGCGGGGGGGACACCAAATTAGAGAGCATGAGTTAATTCTGTAGCTAAGATACGTGCTTGGGAAGAAATGCTGGTGACCGTATTTTACACTTTTATTTATGCAGCTTCTCTGGTGGTTTTTTTTTTTTCTGATTACTGTATAAGTATCAGTATGGTGGGAAATTTACAGAGAAAGGCTTTTGTTGATTGGACATGAAAGAGTACTTTGAAGCTGGCAGTACAACTAAGTATCCTCGGCTGTGTGTTTTGGTCCAGAGCTGTTGTGTTTGAATCTCTATTGTTCTGAACCAAATATGGTTATTTATACCTATGACAAGTAAGTGAAGGAGAGTGTAAGATAGGACTCCTGTCATGTGGTAGCATTTCACACCCACAGGTGCAACAGGTGTAAGTGACTGTATGAGATGCTGGACAAGTAGAAACCAGACTAGTTGTTATTAGGTCCAAGCCACGACCTTTGTCAAGGCTCTGAGCTTGTCTACCCTTGAAAACATTGATTGCTAGGAGTGTACAATAAAGCCCTCAGTGGAAACTTAGAAAAAGAGCTTCTTTACAAAACAGCGTTTTTGTCATTCAGTCTTATACATACAACAGTAAGAATAAGTTTGGTCTGGGGACCTGAGTGATGACCCATTCTGATCGATTACAATCATTTGCTGTGAGGCCGTGAATGAGTCTGCTAGTGGGTTTCTCCTATAAGCACACTAGGGGTTGGGAGTGCAGGGTGTGACTGGCAGTTTTCTAATACAGAAGATAGATAAAGTGTAGATAATGTTTGCAAGAGAGTTCCTTTGTGATTGTAGCTGCCCACATTAAATGAAATAAGCTGTGATGGCAAAAGGTTGGGAGTTCTGCCTTTTTATTTTCTAGCGTTTTGCCAGCATGGGTTTTTCATCTCTGAGCCAGCACAGCTACACCAGCAAAGCCTTTCAGTGGAAACTAAAACCCATTTACTTAGCCTGTGTAGACAAGACATCAGAGAAAGGCTTGCAATCTTTTGATCAGCAGTACAGCAGTCTGAAAGTTCACAAGGTGAGAAGCACTTCTCACCAAGAATATACACTGCAAACTGTATTTAGAAATAACATTTTTAATTAAAACCAGCATTTCTGATCCTGTTGGCAGTAGCTATGGGGCATAAGTGAGGATATCTTTTCTGACAGGAGATGTTTGGGATCTTGATGCAAGAGACTGCAAACCAGTCTCAAGCCTGCTTGAATAATCAAATTAAGAACTTACCTTCTTAGGCATACATTTCTGAAGTGGCACGTGCAGGTCTAGCACAGAGCACTCATTATTGCCGATAACAGAGCTGACATCAAGGGCTTTCCTCTGTTATGGAATTTTGTAAAGAGGCAAATACAGACTCTTTGTGTAGATCCTGGCTGTGGTTTCACAAGATGCTATTTTTGGTGGCACAATCAGCTTTAAAAGTTCTAACTCCTTCTGGTTCCCAGAGCCTGTTCCTGTCTTTGTACTTCTGTTATCCCTCTGCTGTGCTGCCACACTCCTTTAGGATCCAGGTGAAAAACAAACCAAACACTTTTATTTTTAGTTGGGATGATTTTACTATCTACTTTGCAGCACAGCCCCCTAAACAGTGATAAGGCATGTGTGATAGGTGGTGGACTGTGGCATGAAGGTGGCAATACGTCATTAGGAATTCACAGAATTCACAGAATTGTTAGGGTTGGAAGGGACCTCTGGAGATCATCTAGTCCAACCCTCCTGCCAGAGCAGGGTCACCTACAGCACGTTACACAGGACAGCGTCCAGGCGGGTTTTGAATGTCTCCAGAGTGGGAGACTCCCCCACCTCTCTGGGCAGCCTGTTCCAGTGCTCCACTACCCTCAAAGTAAAGAAGTTCCTTCTCATGTTAAGATGGAACTTCCTATGTTCAAGTTTATGCCCATTACCCCTCGTCCTATCACTGGGTGCCACTGAAAAAAGACTACTCCCATCCCCCTGGCATCCTCCCATTAAGTATTTGTATGTATTAATAAGATCCCCCCTCAGTCTTCTTTTCTCTAGACTAAAGAGACCC